TCTATTTAGGTACCAACATCAAAGCCACTGAGCTGTTGTGGCTTTTCAGGAACATTTTTGAAGGTGTTCCTCCAGTATTGATTACATTTGGCTAATCATATTCACTTTGCTTTTCTATAACAGGATATGCTGTGAGATTGTCACTGTCATTCATATTGGTATCATTTGATATTTCATCAAGCCCAGTCGACTTGCTTCATGATAATTATTGACATCAGCCTCTGGATGGAAAGCTTTGGGCTGATCTTCAGTTTTCTTTTCAAAAACAAAAAGAGAGTTTAGCTTTCTCTACTTTCAGCATATCCTTTCTACTGTTTGAATTTCCTCTTTTGTACACCAAATTTATGCTTATATTCTTGAGACATTCCTCATTTGGAAAGGGATTTTAAACTGAAAAAAACGTTGATATCTTTAAGTTGTCAATATATAATTTAAACAGCAAACTGAAACACTATTCATAAAAATTTTGCAAATGAACGTTAATAATAAATATAACTAATATTCAAACATTTTCATTTTTCTTGTGGCAAAAAATAATGAAATTGCGTAAAGAAAAAATAAGTATAGGTATGAATATAATACATACATTTCTTATTATACGTATTTTTTCATATATAATAAACCATACTATCCTGGTTATTTCAACAAGAATATCGGAAACCAACGAATGAATTTGTTTGAAGTTAAGCACAAAGTTATACACTAGGCTATCAGTGCTATGTCACTACGAGTATCGAAACCCGGTTTGCAGTGTTGTAAGTCCGCAGACATACCGCTGTACTATGAATAAAGAGGAAGTCCATTTTACGTGCAATTCAACCAGTTTCTTCTGTTTAATTGAAAGTCGGCTTGCTGGCCTGCAAATGGCGATATAATGTCTAGGAATATGCGTAACCTTCTCACTTCGGTTAGAGTGCAGGGCAATCACCTTTCGTAGACTTACATTCAAAATTAAAAATGAACTTAATTATTATTGACTTGTATGAACAAACTTGGTATCGAAACGCAAACAGTAAATACAATTTTTTATAAGTTTTAATGTCTTAATTTGCTAATAAAATATTAAAATAATTTTTTATAAACTCACCGTTTAATACAATCGTTACACAAATACTCTGAATCTTCTGTCTTTGATAACTTACTTCAGAATTAGCCAATAAATAATTTTGATGTTTTATCTCACCTAATTTATATCCAGTAGAAAGACAAAGTTTTAATCTATGAATGACATACAAATTCATGTTTGTTTGTTTGTTTTGTTTTCACTCTGGTGTAAAAACATAGTTCACTCAGTGTGAAAATTTCTGTGGAGCTGTTCAGATGGAGTATCTAATGTATTTTTAAAGCACTTATGCAACAGTTAAAAAGATACTTAATTTATAATAGCAATTAGGTTATTGTTAGTCTGTAGCTTGTAATTATTCTGTGTTCTTAAGTGCATTTTTAACTCAATAAAAAACATTTAGTGTACCAGGAGCACGATTGTAAAAGTTTAAGGCTAAAATTTCACCGAGGAATGGCACTTAACGCGTTCAAGCCCGTGCGCAAGCCCGCTAATCATGTAATTAAATACGGTAGATTGGGCTGAACACTCTCCGAAGGTTTTGTTTGTTTGTTTTGAATTTCGCGCAAAGCT